AGAAATAGCTTCCACCCTCTCTCTCTCTCTCTCTCTCTCTCTCTCTCTCTCTCTCGCTCTCTCGGTCTTTCTCTCTCTCTTCCTTTTCACTCTCGTTCTCTCTTTCGCTCTCTCTCTCTCGCTCTCACGCTCTGGCGCTCTCTTTCGCGCTTCTCACATGTTGTGAAATGAAATTTTGAGTAATTTTGTGCCGCCACTCCAAAATACCGGATCGCGAGGATCAGATGCCGCCCCGGCTATTTGCCCCTCGTATCCCTTTAGTGTTCCTGGCCCCACTTTCCGGCCCTTCCCCCTCCATCCCTAAAAAGGACCAAAAAGCAAAAACATTCAGCGGGCCATTTGCTGGGTGTCACGTTTGTATGTGGGGTGGGAGGAAGGGGGATGACTTGTCAGAAGCGCAACAGCTGGGCCCTGACTCGTGATCCTTTTTGTAGCTGGTTTTTTCGTAGTTTGAAGTTTGGGTATGGCTTTTCTCTCTCGCCCTCATTCTCTCGCCCTCACTATCTCTAGCTCGCTCGCTCGCTCACTCTCTCTCTCCCTCTCTCTAACTCTCTCTCGCTCTCTCTCTCTCGCTATCTCTCCCTTCTCTCTCATTCTCTCTCTCACTATCTCTCTGTCTCTCACTCTGACCTTCTGGCATACTGTACCTGCACGAGGCTTCGTTGAAAACAAGCTGAGTAAAAGAAACAGCTGGAATTGAGGGTGGGGCCAAAGTTGGACCCGTTTTTGGGCGGTCATGAGGAGGCAAATTTGCACCTGATTCTCAGAAAGACTTCACTGCGCATTTTTCAAACGCTAAGATACGGTAAGACGAGGTTGAACTTACCGAACTTGTCGTAGCGAGGTTTAGGCTCCGGACCTCGTTGACTCATCTTATTGTAGCGTAGCTTGCCTAATTGATGAGGATTAAAGACACTTGAAGAAGTTCGAAGAATTCTAATGGCACCACGTATGGGTTTCACACGGCTGAACTTGCTGAACTTGAAGGGCACGAACGAGCAGCTTTAAATGCATTGGACGACCCGGCGCTGTAGGTGAGATCCCCCGGGTTCCGCAGTTTAAAGGGGCCTATAAGGCATAACCTAGATATTGCCTGGAGCTTCAGACTTCAGAACGATCAGGCTTCAGAACGACATTTTCACTGCTAGTTCACCCTGGAATGACCCTCGCATAAGCTGCAAAGGTTGAAACTGTCTAGACCTAAACCGCAGCAGGGGTCTATACTGGAGCTTCCTAGTTCCTTTAGGGCTTATGGATAAAAAAAATCGAGCGATTAGAAGCCAACATCAAATTTTGAGCTGTTTTCACTTCCCGGGCTCGATCCCGTTCGTCTCGGCTGTTTTGGCAGACGCTTTAGGGTATATCATGGTGGTTCAGATTTCGGAAGCCCCGACCAATTGATCATTTATGCCGAACTCTCTCTCTCTCTCTCTGGATCCCACGGGGATCACCCCCTCACTCATCAGACCTTTAGGCAGATAAAGGAACTGACTCATTTGGGGCTCGAAATCGGAGATTCCCGGCCTCCTTTTGCCGCCTCCATAATTCTCTCTTTGCGTCTTTGCGTAGCTGCCCCTTCAGAATACGTCAACGAGCCGTGGGAATTTTCATGATTTTATTAGCATTTACCCAAACGCGGTAATCGGTTATTTTGAGGATTTAGTAGCGAATTTCGCATCTCGGACTTGCCAGTGTTCACATACATGGCTCCCATTTCATATTTTCTAGAAAAAGGGTCAGAATTTTTCTGTTGCCAAGTACACGGAGCGACACCTTTTCTGGCCGTTTCCCGAGGAATTTTTGGCTCCTATTATCCCGAATTTCCGGCTGGTTCCGGTTCAGATTTTTCAGGGATTGTGCCTCTACACATGTTGGGTGCAAATTTTGTTATCAGGTTAGTAGTAGCTATTCGGAATTGCCAGGTTTCTTATGGTCTATTTGGACTGTTAGCGGGCGAAATCAAACTTTTCCAGTCATCCTAAGCATTCAGCCTATTGTCTATTTTACGAAATGGCACCAATTTGTTGTACTGAACACACCACCGAAACAACGCCTTAAAAGGCCATAAATTTCATGATGCGATATTTCAATTTCTACACTAGATTGTTCCCATTTTTCTCCCCTGGATGCTTCACCCTTAGAAAAGGGCTATTGGCTGCGGAATTTTGGGCTGAAAAAATGGGTAGAAATGGGTTTGAGATGAGATGAGATATCCCGCATTCTCTCTCGCTCTCTCTCTCTCTCTCTCTCTCCTCTCTCTCTCTCTCTTTCTCACTCTCTCTCTCTATCTCTCTCGCTCTCTCTGTATCCCTCTCGCTCTCTCCTTCTCTTTCTCATCATATTCGTCCATCTACCACCCCTAATTCATCCATCCTCCTATGGCAGAACCCCCGCATTTTGAGGTACCCCTTTGGGCCATGTCAAACCCCCTAATTTTTCTTGAAGCCTGACCAGCGGAGCTAGATAATCGAGCCAAATGTTTTCTGCACTAAGCACTACTTCCACAACTTTTCTGGATCGGAAATCACTGTTTTATGCGGTTTGGAAAGTACGAAAAGGGACAGATTCCGATTTTTGGAAGCAAAAAATTCATCTAGTGCGAGTAGCTTCGTTTTTGGCTAAAAAATTGGCGCCAGCGTCGAGAGCTTCGTGAAACGAATGGCATACGCATTGCACCAAAATCTCACGCAATCTCACTCTCACTCAAACTTTTCTATCGTTTAAAGAAACGTTATTTAAAGATTCGGAAAAACGTTAGGATCGACCCCTTTCCTCTACCAGATCTCGACAGCTACGCGGGCACCAAAAGACGCAATTTTGTACGTTCTACGGGTACACGATTACTGTTTGCTGCCGTCTCTCTCTCCATCTCGCTCCCCTCTCTTTCTCGCTCTCTCTCTCACTCTCTCTCTCTCTCTATCTCCAGGTTCATCTCTCCTCCCCTGCTCCTATCTCTCTCACCCTCTCTCTCTCTCTCTCGCTATATCTCCGTTTGTCTATCATATATTTCTGGCTCTCTCTCGCTCTCACTTCCTCTCGCTATCGCTCTCTCGTTTTATTCACAGGATTTGAGACATTTTCCTTATCTTTCCCATCCTGTTTCCCACGTGTCTCCACACTCCAATACCCTTGTTTCCCTAGATTCGTAGTGTTTTGACGGCCGAGGTTTGGTCCCGCGCCCCAAAAAATCCCACCCAAATTTACGACTTTCTCCGATCAAGTGGTTCACGGTTTGGCCGCCCCACTTTTTCCCGGCACCAGGAAGGCAAATTTCCTCGAATTTCCCGGCCAAATTTCTTTTTGGATTTTCGAGGAGTCGGGGGTATAGGGAGGAGGATGAGAAGGCGCGTCTTCGGTTTTTGTTGTTGGGCCCTATTTCCCTTGAGGGCGGGCGGATCGTCTCGTATTTTCGCGACGACGCATTTCGACGCCAATTTTTGCGTTATGTACACATGATGACGGGGCCGGAATCGAATTATTCGAGGGCAGGGGGTTTAGGGTTATACTTCCTGAAGTCATTCGTTAGATTTGCCTTTAACGGCTCGAATTGTATTGACAAAATAAGACTTATTACATTCTTCTGGATACGGTAAATATGGTTTATGTTTCTCGGGGTCTCTTTTATCGGATTTTTGATGGATTTTGGAATGAAATATGATTGTATAAATTTCATCTTCTTAGACGTCTAATTTCTATTACAAATCTCTGGAAAAAACAATTTTATGGGTAACGAAGCGGTCCCAAATCATCTCTACTAGCATGCCCGTCTCTTCGGAACGGGGTAGTATCATTCGGAAATTAAGGGTTATATTCCGATGCCTGCACACTAATGTCTAGGAAGTTTTGACCGTGGCGCCTCTAACAAAATTTTGCGTGTTTACCGCTTCCCTTGCTGCCTTCTCCGCTCCTTTAAACCGGAACTTACTCTTTTCCCAGCGATTCTCAGATAGCGAAATTCTCTCGAAATTATTGCCTTACATTTTGGAACCTCCGAAAGGTCCATCATTTGTTCTTTCACGTCGACAGACCTGTTTTTCGATTTTTTTTCTAATTCTCTAGAAATTCGATAGAATTTCTCCCATTTGTCCTGTACCCTTTATTTGCGCTGTGGGTTATGCAAATTGCGTTTCTCCATCCAGACGCCCACCCGAAAATTCCCAGAGACGAATTCCCCACGAAAATCGCCTTCCGATTCGGAATTTGTTTTGAAACGGAATCGCGTTTTTTAATTGCGTCAATAGTACCAGGGGGTAGGTGAATGATTGAAAATCACACCTTAATGAGGGCCTCTCACAAATAATAACGTCTGTATCTCTTTACCTCTCTCGCGCGCGCTTTCTCTCTCTCTCTCTCTCTTTCTCTCTCTGTCTACCTTTGGCGGCGGCAGTCATTCTTCCACCCGCATTATGGGGTGCGCAATTTAGCAAACAAGCACTTAATTAGGGCCCCCAGTGTCTGTGCGCGTTTAAATAATTGAGCATTCCGATGTTCGTCTCTATCTGCTCCTCACCGATCTTTGCATCCGTAAAAGAGGGTTTTAGACGTTGTGCAAAATTGAGAAATGTTCGTGCGAAAGCAAAGAATATTTCAATTTTTTAGACAGTCTGGGGTACATTGCCTCTATCCCTCTTTCTCTCTCTGGTTCTCTCTTTCTATCTCTATCTTTAGCTTTCTCCTTTATTTGCTATCTCAATCATTCTTTCGCTCCCTCCTTTCGCTCTCGCTCTCTCTCGCTCTCTCGCCTCTCTCTCTCTCTCTCTCTCTCTCTCTCTCTCTCTCCTCCTCTCCCGCTCCCACTCTCACTAACGAACTATTTCTCGCACTCTCTCGGCCCTCTCTGTCTCGTTCTTTCTTTCCCCCTCTCAGTGCCTCAGTCTCTCTCTTTGGTGATACATTATTAAAAGTCTTGGAATGTGTAGTTTTCCTATTTTTTCGTTTTTCTAGAATGATATTTTAATTTTCCTCTATTTGCAGGGTACCATATCCGCGGCCGCTTCGCAATGCTAGCGGCAGCGTTCGGCCGACATTCCATCTCAAGGCGGGACGTCTACTTGTTCGGCTACATTATTTTGATATCCGCGTTGTTAGTGGGACCCGCAGAGAGCTCCGGGCTTAGGTGAGAAAGGGAGAGAGAGAGAGAGAGAGCGAGAGAGCGAGAGAGAGAGAGATTATCAACTTCTTTTTCAGGTTGTGTGGAAGCAAACTGACAAAGACGCTGTTGGCAATCTGCCGAGGTCAGCTGTGCGGCGGCGGTTTCATGATGCCGATGCCAGCCAAGCGGAATGCTCCCGGTACGGTCGTTAAAGGGCCGTCGAAGGCAAACTTATGGATTTACGATAACTCTGCCTTGTCGGTCCCTTTAAAATATTAAAAAATTGGTTTAGCAATCTTAAATTAGTTTTTAGCTAGAAAAAGACTATTTTAATGAGACTGTGTATTCTCCGGGCTGAACCACGTGTTTTGGGCATTCTGAATGAAGCCTTTTTCTAACTGATTTGAGTGGAGTAATCCCTGGGGGCCAATCACTTAATTTAGCTGCGTAGGTTCGGGGCCAATAACCAAGAAAATATGATAATTGAAATCATGAGAATGGCTTTGTTCAGATTTGCCGATGACCCCCACTACAAGGCCAAACACAACGAATCGACTTTTTACAAGCACATGCAGCCATCAAAAGGTGAGTAACTAGCAAGAAAAATTAAAGTGGTAGTCCGCGGATTGGATCGTAGTTTGTACGGGACCTTGCGTGCAAGATTACCGTATGATGTGTAAGACACGTCGCGTCTCCTTTCGGTTGTCACAAGGCGTTTTCCCATCCTCTGACGACACGCCACGCGCCCGCACGCGCTCAGCTTCCTCAGCTGAAGATCCCGTTTAAAGGGACGCGTAAGGCATGAGGACTATGGATTTTTCCGGATAAATATTCTAAGAATCCTAACGTAACGCGGCATGCAACCGCATCGTGCGCCTTTGCCATGCGTAATGGATTATAATTCCGTTGCGGCAGCGGGGCGTGCGCGTGCGTGTCGCGATCAACGCCAAATCATCATGGCGCCCCGCGAAAAAAAATCCATAGCCGTGCCTTACCTGTCCCTTTAATCAGGTGTTAAAACCTAGGAAATGCAAAAATCGACCCCTTCCGCCGACTAGGTCTAGACAGTCAGAGTGACACAAAAACACGCTGGATTTTGATTTGAATAAAAGGGACGCTTCCTGCTTTTTGGACCAAATATCTAGTCGCCCCTGAATTCGTATGTGGTGGCGTAACGTAGCTGTTGAGATCTAGTAAATTGGAGGGTCGATTGCAGCGTTTTCTAGTGCATTTAAAGGCCGTTGATGCCATGAGGAAGTGTAGCTCCTGGCCTAATTTTATCGAATTTTTCAGGGGTGGCGTGGCGACGGAGTGCTGCGAGCGGAGATGCTCGTTCTCATATCTCAAGAGTTTCTGCTGCGACGAGTAACAAAAGGACATCATCTACAACAAGACTACACACTACAAAATACACCAATTTACAATGGCCTGACCGATCCAGGATACTTGAGAATTTTTTCACAAAATGCGCTGATCGCCGGCGGGCCGGCCCACACTTTGCTAGACCGGAAATTCGCTGATTTTAAGGAATGTGGAAATTCATGAGATTTAAGCAGTTACGCTAGGGAATTCTAAAGTCTTAAATTACAAAAAAATTAGAAATTAGCAATTTCAACATTTTTCTTTTTCTAATTTTTGAATTTTTTGAAATTTTAAGTTTTGTAAAACCCGTAAAAATTGGTTTTTAAAATAAGTTTTCCCATTAAAATGTCACTAAGTTTCATGTATTAGGAGGCAAAGTATTTCATGTATTTCTTAGGCAAAGTGTGGGCTGGTACGTCAAAAGTACAGTATCGTACAGTTTCGGGGCTACCGGAGTGTATCGGAATATTTCGGAATTTCCATCTATCTTATTTCTACTCAACAATTCAAATTTCTGCAGATTTCCGCGAGATTCTACCTGACACCCAAAATTTTCATAATTCCCCTACCCCACCCCCTTTTTAAAGGGACCGTGCCAGAGAGACGCGACCAAAGAGGGGTATCGCGATGGCCAAAAATACCCTTGAAATTCCCGGTTTCCAATCCCTGATCTCTAAAAAATGACCAATCTCTCGGTTCTTCCAACCATTGATGCATTTATATCACAAATTTCGAGTCTGGAAGAATCCCCTCTCTTTCTCTGCCCTTCCACCATAGTCGTGCTCTCTCGCTATCTCTCGCTAACTCTACCTATCGTCACTGTTATATCACGCCCTATCCCATCATTTTCCGGTATTGCCGCCATTTCTTGTCTTTTCGATGAAGAATGGTGAATAAATATGGCTGTTGAGGGGAGGAAAGTACGTTACGATACGTTGCTTTATGAACCGTACATTACGCTACTGTATGGTGCGATAGAGCACACTAAGACACCGAAAAGTTCATGAGATTACAGCCTGACCAGCTAGATTATGCTACGCTATGATACACTGCGTTACGCTACGGTAAGCTATAATCGCTACGATACATTACGCTGCGATACGCTACCATACGCTACGATACGTACGCTGCGATATGGTACGAAACACTATGCTGCACTACGACACGCTACGATAAGTACGCAAAGATACACTACGATACGCCACGATATGGTACGCTACGCTACTCGATGCCACGATACGATACGCCAAACTATCCTTTGTGCTGCGCTACCTTGCGATACACACGATGCTACGGTATGGTACGTTGGAATGAGGTTGGTGATACTGTACGAGATAATAGGTTACGATACGTAATATTAAGTCACGGCAGATGCTTAGGATTAGCCTTTTGTGTTTCCATAACGGACCCGTGTCTGTTTGCATTGCATTAATGCGTCTTCCACACCAGATTTTATATTAAAATTTATTCTTTGGCCACTGACAAGGGAAGTGCACGACCGGCCCACGAGAAATCGACACGAGACATAGTCGATCTGATAGAATCGGATACGGGGATTTCGAATCTGCAATCAGAATTTGCTAAATAAAACGGAGAAAAAAGTTATGAAGCTTCAAAGTTGGCCAAATCGCCAAAAACCATACCTTTAAGGGCCCGTAAAAACCGGTGGAACGGAATTGAGGAGAAAATAATTAGTGCAGCTTGTTCAGCAGAAAAAGCGCTTTCGAATGAGCTGTAATACGTAGCATTTGCAAACAATTCACTGAAAAAAGTTTTTTTGGATGCACGGGCAAGGGTATGGCCTGTCAAGTTCATAGAAGAGATTTTCCCGAAATCATCGTAAACTTAAAGTAAGATAGCTCATTCGAAAGCGCTTTTTCTTCTGAACAAGATGCACTAATGGGTTGTGGCAAATTTCCATTCCCTGGGCCTTTAGAGGCCCATAAAAGTCCGATTTTGGGCGATTTTGCCAACTTTGAAGCTTCATAACTTTTTTCTCCGTTTTATTTAGCAAATTCTGATTACAGATTCAAAATCCCCGTGTCCGATTCTATCAGATCCACTATGTTTCGTGTCGATTTCTCGTGGGCCGGTCGTGCACTTCCCTTGTGAGTTGTTGGGCAGCCCACACAATAAGGGAAATCGGCATCAGTAATCAGTAATCAGTGTAAGTAAGTAATAAGTGCATCGGGGAAGGGGAGGGAGGGGAAGAACTTGGAGAAGCACCAAAAATTAGGAAATCCATCGGCATTCGATAAACTACATTTTGGCACTCGGAATATCAGAGGGGAAATCGCAATTTGGAAGAATTTGTCTAATTGAGCTGAGGGTCTCCAGGGCGGTTCAATAAAAATTTGGGTTCATCGGTCCTTTAAAGAACTGGCAAGGCAGATTTATGGACTTTTTGGCCACAGATTTTAGTTAGATTTTGCCGCGCAGTGAAACGCGACGCATACGCGTCGCTTCGCGGCTTAAAAATAGCTTAATCGCTTACGCAATGAAAATTTTGACGTCTTCGGCGCGTAACGAATGCGCGCAGCCTTGAAAATCGCGTAATCGATTATGCAATGAATACAAAAATGAGCGTACGCGTTGCTTGTCGCGGCGCGGCAAAATCCTCATCTAATCCATGGCCAAAATCCATAACACTTGCCTTCAAAGCCCCTTTAAAACCAATCGAACCAACCCTCAGAAATTGGCAAAAATGCAAGAATTTCTTACGGTGAAGGCAGCGATATGCGAGGGAGCAGTAGTTTGTGAGAGGATGCAGGAAAAAGGAGCAACTTTTAGAAATCGTGAGAAAATACCCTGGGCTTGCGGACTACGGTAGGTATCGGGGGAGGGCGTATTTTAATGTACACACACGGGTGGATCACAGACTGGCAGAAGAGTTGGAGGGGGAAATCAAATAAGATATTAGCAACGTGGAATCCGACATTTTAAGGGCCCACTGAAGGCAAATCCACAAGAATTTGTCTTGCCGGCCCCTTTAGAATCGAGAGGAAAACAAAACTTGCATATTTTTTGGAGTAGAGAAAAGTGAGATGACCCGCGACTAGAGGGGAGTGGGGGGTTACGGAAAAGACAATCGGGCGGTCCGGGGAGGGGCTGCTTATAAAAAATAAGAAAAATTGTGGAAATTGCGAGATTACGGTAGGCGTTAAAATTCCTAGCGGCTTCCATCCGATTACGCTATCAAGTTAAAATTTCTGAAATCCGAGAAATTACTTATGTTTTCCGCTACCTTATCCGAAAAATCCAACAATTTCCACAACACTCCAGGGAATCTGTTACGATAGAAAAATCAGCTTTTATTTTGCGGAAATAGCTAAAAAATATCGTAACCAATTACCTGGGCTTAAAATTAGCATAATTAGCATAGTAAGGGCTGGCCCCTAGGACCCGAATCGAAGAGCACCGAGTATAGAGGGGGAGGAGTTTAAGTTGAAGATGTAAAAATAGAGATTATGATATATAAATATTATTAAATGCCACGGCGCGCTAATGGCGTCCCATCAATCGACTGGCCGAGTTGTACTGATGGCCAAGGGTTGAGCCGTCGTAGTCGGGCACGTGTTGAGACTCCATCATCGCCAGCATGTCCTGAAAACAATTAAAATAGCTTTTATAAGGATTTAGAGACTTGGAAAGGAGGGCTTGGCTAGCTTGGCTGGCTTGGTCAGCTTGGGAAGAAGGCTTTTTCGGATTTAAGCGGCGGGATGGCGGAAGTAAAAAGCATTTCCTAAACATGCGTTTTTAAAATGAGGGAGAGGTGAGCTAGCAGAGATTTTTGGGAATTTTTCGTATGAACTCCGGCGAGCTAGTAGATTTTTTGGGAATGGCAAGCTCGCAGAGACGCTTTGCGGACTTTTTGGACGCAAACCAGGTAAGCTAGCAAAGATTTTTTGGGAATAGGCGGATCGGCTGAAAGGGGCATCGAGCGTGGTTTCTTGCGGATAAATCTAATGTTTTCGCTCCGAATTTCAAGGGCAGGGTGGCAAAGACCCTTGGGGAATTTGCCGATGGTCTGGGGCGGGCAAACTAGCAAGGTCCTTTCAGGAAACTAGCCCCAAATTTTTGCCTATATGAAGCTAGGCAAGCTAGCAAAGATCTTTGGGGATTCGATTCCTAGGGGTAGCTAGCAGAGGCACTTTGAGATTTGCATGCTGAGACTCCTGGGTATACTAGCAGAGATTCATGAAGAATTTCACTCAGCTTAATGCAAAAGGCGTGAATTTTCAGGGCAAGCTAGCAAAGAGCCTGATGGAATCGGGCGCCTCTAGAGCTCAAATAGAGAATCGAAGAGATGCTAGCAGAGACTATTGAGGAATCATTCGTCACTCGTCTCTGCTCCATGCTAGATTAACGCTCAGCCTGCCAGGCAAGCTAGCAAATACCATTGAGTATCCTCCACTTCCATTAATGCTCAAACACGCACCTGTAACCTCGCCGGCAACCTTGCCGCCTGAGCAGCTTCACTATGTTCGAGTGCCTCGATCAACCCGTCACGATATTGATCGAGATATTTGTACAGTTCGTTCAGGGCTGAGAACACGTGGAATTGACCCTTGTGCTGGCGACTCTCTTCAGCAAGGATATCTTGCATCTCAGCATCCGGAATTGGGCCCATTCGTTGGATGTCGGTGTAGTAGCTGGAAGGAACTGACTTTTAAAGGGCCGTTTAAGAAAAAAATTCGGGATGATACTAACGACTGAATTGAAAATGGATTTTGAAGAACAAATGAAGGTAAGATTTTTTGAGAAAACGACCTGAATCGACCTGAAAACTTACGTATCGACGAGATCCCGATACTGGTAGATGTCCTTGGCGAAGAGGAGCTTGCTGGAGGGGCTGTCTTTGGTCAGTTGATGATCTTGGGTAGAGCACGCGTCCATTAGAGTTTGAGCAACGACGGAGAGGCAGCCTTCCACCTGGAAAATCCGGCCATAGAGAGATAGAGAAAGCGAGAGTGAGAGAGTGATTGTGATAGAAATAGAGAGAGAAAATTGCGTCCCACTTACCTTGGTAGGTTTCGGAATGTCGAACAAGAAATGCGGGTTCTTGATTAAATTCACCCAGAATCGCAGCGGCAATGCATTGCTCTTCCACGCGTGCACCACTTCCGGATCCGTAATGCCGTTCTCTTGGGCCTAAAACGGAAAATAAGAAGTTATTCCTGGTTACGGTAGACTTTTTAAAAGGACTGTGACAGCCAGAAAAATGTCATAGCGATTTGTCAGGTGCTCTACTAGGCGTTTAAAACAAATTTTGCGGCCTTTGCCCCCTTTAAATCTTCAAATCCAGTGCTTACCTGGTCGTCCATGAAGTCGAACATGTACTTGATGCAGTACGGTAGACCGCCAGCATTTCCCCCGGTTGAGAAGATGGCCTCCAGCAGGTCGTTGATGAACTTTTGGAGCGTGCCCTTCATCATCAGAAGCCTGGAAATAGATGATTTTAGTCGTTTTCAAGTAAATATTTTTGAAAAACAGATCTTTTTAGATCAGTTTTTCGCGCTGATTTCGAATACGGCATTGTATTTATCCGGAATTTATGGTTTTTAGAAAGAAATAGATTTTTTGGAATTTTTCGAAATCAGTAAATTCATTTTCTGTTTTTAAGAAAATAGCAAGGCTGTTCAAGGCAAGCTTTCATACCTTGTGAGGTAGATCTCGGACACCATCTTCTCGTTCGAATCGTTTGGGCCGTGTTCGGGTGTTTTCACGAGATGGTAAAGCTTGTTGTGGGTATCATGTTCTCGTGAATATGACGATGATGACGTCCCAAATGGCCGGGATAGCGTTGGTGAATTCTTGATCGACATTGTGGATTTTTCGCTTCGTTCGGAAAGCAGGGACTGAAAAAAAAACAGTAAAAATGTACAAAAACTTGGAGCAATTTTTTACCGGCTTCCAGAGCTTAAGAAGGTTCAAAAGCTTGAGTAGCTTTGGTGGCTTAAAAGGCTTCAAAAGCTTGGCAATTTTCAGACGCCTCATAAGCATGAAATTCATTAAAAGTCAAAGCTTCAAACGCCGAAGCCAAGTGAGCCTAACCCCTAGCCTAACCTGAGCCTAAGCCTGAGCCTAAGCCTAAGCCAAGCCTAAGCTAAGCCTAAGCTAAGCCCAAGCCAAGCCTAAAGCTAAGTCTAAAAACTCACCAAATTATACAAGCTGTTCTGCCTGGCCATCAACCCCATGACGGCGTTGTTGGGGACTTGGTAGTGCAGTAATGTGTTCATCTTCTTCCACCCGGATGGCTCGACCCTGCTTGTACTGTCGACATCTTGGAGCAGTAACCGTCCATTCAACCCCGTTCGCCATTCAAGGTCCAGATCGTCGGCCTTTGGACGTTCCGAGTAGGGGATGGCGCGGAATTTCGCTTCCAGGCACTTTTCTTTCACCTGAAAAAATGGAAATAGTATTTTTAAAGGTATATAACTGAATTTCTCCGTTTTTGGTTGATTTTAAATATGAATAATTTGAAGCTGCAAAAATTAAAGCCCGATATCTTTCCCTTAAGAAAAGTTCGAAAAATTCCTACATAGCTCAAGGATTTTTATTAATGGAATCTTCAATTTTTGTTCAATCAAAGCGTGATATTGGTATTTTAAATACCATTCAAAGACAAAAAATCAAGTTTTACAGTAGTTTTGGTGTATTTTTAGCATTATCTAATACAAAAACATACCTCGTGGACCGTATCCACAATCCAGCACCCTGACAGGCACATCCGGCTGCGCGAACCCGTTGATGTTGACCTCCCCGGCGATGAATATCGTCAGCTCCTTGTACTCAAAGGTGGCGCGGAGTAGTTTCTCTTCTGACAGAGAATATCTAGCTTCAAGTGTGACAGCATCCTGGGGTCCCTTCTCCATTTGTTGTTTAATACCCCAGTATAATTCGTAGAGCTTTCTTCCAGCCGATCCTTGATATGCCAACAGATGTTTGTGCATGAGGAAGGTAAACCACGCGGCCAGCATACGCTCTGCGACACTTTCCGATCGTCGGAAAAGGATTTTCGGCTGAAACTTCTTCTCGACGGTCCGCTCGATGAGTTCTTTGAGCAGGTGCTTGAGGATCTCGGTACAGTAGGGCATCTTTTCTTGGAGCACGACCATCAGCAGGGAGCCCACGTAGACACGGTCTTTCCCGAGGAAGTACTTGTTCGATTCCATGACGCGCACCCAGGTGGTGAGGAACGTCTGCAATAGAGGGGCTATGGTGGTTTCGAAAATATCGTGATCGAATTTTCATGATAGCCAAATTCCGTAATATTTAAAAGTGATAATGTCGTAATTTCATAATGTCGCGATTTCCTAAAAGCAAAATTTCAGAGTTCCGAGACATCGATACAGAAAAATTTGGGAATTTCGAAACTCGACAAATAGGATCGTTCCAAAACAAAATTTCAAAAAAATCTGTCAAAATTTCTTAATGCCAAAATTTCATAATGTCGACATTTGAAAATGCCGAAATAACCCTAAAAAATTCAAAAACCCAGAATTTCGAAATTTCGTGAACTCGAAGTATCGGAAAATTGAAATTTACTAATGCCGAAATTCGGATTTAATTGCGTAAAGCCTAAATTAAATGTTGTAATGACATTACACCGACATTTCAGAAATTGTAAAAAATGAGGCGCATATCGTTTATTAGTTTAAGAAAATTCAATTTGGGAAAAAATACGGCTCCTCCCCTTTGAACCAGCAAAAAACTAAAACACCAACCTTGTTGAGAATCAGCTTGTGGAACTCCCTCAGCGAATTCTCCACCGCGGCCGCCCTCGTGCTGTCCACCTCAAGTTCGCGGAGTACGGGGTGCTTATGCAGGTTCGGGAACAACACTCTCGCCGCGTATTCCTTATACTCCAAGAAAGGCACCATAGACGAGCCCAACGGCAACTCGGCCGAGTACGCGTTCAACGACGTCTGCAGCTCGGCAAAAGCCTCCTTGCACTCGGTGGCCACCTTCATCTCGATGTTGTCCATCTGGTGCTTCAGGTATTTCATTTGTCGCTGATGGGAATTCGTCTTTTTCTTGTACATAAACCCGACGACGATCAGCATTATGGCCAAAATCGCAGTGATTAGGCCTATAATCGCTATCCCCGCCGCCGGCAACGTTTGCGAGTCGTACGACAGTTCTCCAACTGAATAAGCCTCATCTCCAACGCAGCGACGACTTCCGGGCTGCACCTCCGCCCAGGTCCGGTTTGTCCTTTGGTGGTCTACAGGTGAGGGCGTCCTTTCCGATGGCTATCAATGCGCAGTCCTCGCCGCCAACGGTGATCCTCACGTCACGCTCGTACGCCACGTCCTTGACGTCGACGGCGTTGATGGTGAGCGTCTCCTCGCCGGGCCGAGAAGCGCAACCTGCCGGAAGGTGGACAATCGTTCGGGTTGGGTAGACGCGGATTTGCCGTTTTTCGGTGACGGTTCCATCGAAGTCGAAGGCGTAGGAGGCGAGCAGGGGGTGGGAGACGGTGGGTTTTCGATCACTGCTCGGATATGACGGGATTTTGCAGAGCATGAGCTTGTCGTCGCTGATGTTGCAGGGAGGGCCCGCCTGAAAAAGAGGATTAGATATTAATGGCAAAAATTGGTCTCAAAAATGGGTATATGGCTATTAACAACGTACTAACAGAACAGAACAGTGAGATCAATGAGAGAGAGAGGGAACGAGAGAGCGATGAGAGAGAGAAAAGGAGCTAGAGAGGAGTGAGCGGAAAGTGACCAGAGAGGGAGAGGAGAGCGCGGAGAGAGGGAGAGTTTGAGAGAGTGAAAGTGAGAGAGACACACTTCTTTTGAAAAGCATCTAAAATCAGGCATTTACCAAGGCGCTGCGGCCGCGTTGCGTGTATGGATTGGTGGCTCAACTTTCTCGTTCTAGCTGTTCTGTCTCTTTCGATTATATACTCTCTCCCTCCCGCTCTCTCTCACTCTCTCTCTCGCGCTTACTCTCTCTCTATCTGACTCTCTCCCTTTCTATCCCACCATCTCGCTCGCTGTGTCTCACACACACTCTCCCGCTGCCTCTTTCTCTCTCTCTCTCTATCTCTCTCTCTCTCTAACGCTCTCTCTCTCCATCTCTCGCTCTAACTGTCTCTCTATCACTCCCTTTCACTAAAAAGTGCGAAAATTCTCAAATGAATGCATGGCAGCTAACGTAATCAAAATCTACCTAGATTACGCGCAGCTCCTGTATACGCTCAGAAACTCTATTTTTACCTACATTAACAGCGCCTCAAACCACTCACCCTCGGTTGTGCTTTCCCATCAAAGATATACAAGCAACATATGTGGGCGTTGGGTAACAGCTTGAATCCATCCCCAGCTACATCCACCACAATCCCTCCAGCCATTATCGAGTGCTCCGGCCGTACTTCAAAGATTTTCGGATTGTTCCTGTAGGCGAAATTGAGCCCTTGGCGAACATGCGCCTCCTTGTCGTCAATATCCATGGTCATTGGTATATTCCAGATAGCCTCTCGGCCATCCCAGATCTATAGGGGCGTACTGGTACGGCAGATAAGAGCTCGGCTCTCTAGTCCCGCTCCACATACTCTTACACGCGGACCTCTCCGATTTTGATCGCCATCCAGGAGCCAGGTCCAGGGTTCTCGCCGGTGAGCAACGAGGTCGGTTCCGCCTGAAAATAAAGGATTTATACGGATCAGGAGGCGAAGTTCCGGTACCTATAAGTTTCTACGAAGGGGTAATCCTAACTTTCGCCCGGCGCTTGGCATTATCGCGGGGGCTTAGGAAAGAGATTTGTTTGCTGTAAAATACCCGAAATACATTAATAAATACATTTTCAGTTATTTTAGTGCGAACGAACTAAATAAAGTGGAAAAACTACTGAGACTTTACACAATTTTGGTAAAATGTCGAAATTTTGATCGATAAACGATTTTTGTTTAGAATCAAAAATGGTATTTGTGCGTCAAGATCAAACCTTTTTTTTATGGGAAACGCTTTTTCAAAAACTATAAGAATTTTAAGCACAATTTAGAAATTTTGAGGCTTTCGTTGAAAAATCCGGAAATTTTTGCTTTTTACTAGGAATTTTTATGGGGGTTTGACGGTTTCTTCACGGTAACAACAGGTTGAAATTAATATGCTAAAAAGTCTAGAGTGCTAAGTGAAATGTTAGATTATGAGTACGAATTTTTAGCGATTGTCTTAGTACAAAAACCTAGAAAACAATAAAAAATTTCAGTAGTGAAGAGACTACTAGATAGGCTTTTGTCCCCACACCCGCTAACAGTCAGGAACCGTCATCATTCGCCTCAAAATCGCTACCTGATGTTTCGGCTCCTCCACTGGGTCTACGCCCAAGATCTTCGGCTCACGACGTAGCTGAACTGCCTTGGTGGGGTGACTATGAGGTAGATGGGGAATCTGAGTCTCAGGATCATCGGCCCTTATAGCCGACGTCTGGGCATTTTTCGTCGTGCAATAGAACTCGGATGGCGAGATGAAGTCTGCTAAGTTTGACGGTGCAGGGACGTTCGCAATTAGGACAGCTTAACGAAGATCAGCAGCCGAACGTCCGAGATCTCACGCTGGTGCATGCGGATTTTGGTATAACGTGGAGCCGGGCCTTTCGGGTAGAAGGAGAGATCATGGGGTAGGGCAGAGCGGTGTCGAGTTCAGCCAACACTCAGGGCTTCGCTAACGGCAGGCACAAGTGGCCGTGACGCATCTGAAAAAACGCATCGAATGAGAGGCGTTTCTTGATACCGTGATGGGACTCTCATTCGTGTCACTTATCTTTTGCTCTCTGGCGCTCCGGCTGCTCTCGCTCTCTCTCTCTCTCTCTCTCTCTCTCTCTCTGCCTCTCTCTACTCCCTTCTCTCTCTCTATCTCTCTTTATCCCTCTATATTTCTCTCTCTATCCCTCTCTCTCTCTCTCTCTCTTTTAGAGCCTTAACCCACTTTGCGGATCCTTCTCGCACCAGCCGCAGTCGAACTTGGTGGGTCGAGGACAAGCAGAGCCCGCAGTTCGAAGCCAACTCCTCGCAGCGATATACCCAGAAAATGTGCGTATTTCTCTCTGCTCTCTCTCTCTTCTCTCTCTCTCTCTCACCTCAACAGCCGTTCCATTGACGTTATCAAACGAGTGCGTCACATCCGACGCTCGGAGATGACCAATTACTGCAAAGTCCACGGGGCGGTGCCGCTGATCATCTTCAGCTCGGGCTGGTTGAAGCGCATCTCATCGCAGCTGAAATAGAAAAGCTAAAGTCAATTTTCCAAATACATTGCCGAAAAGCCCATTTGGTTTTGGTTTCTCCCTCCCAGTCCCTTTAAAACCAAAAATTCGATGCTAAAACTCATACACTGGTGTCGTCATCAACAAAGTGCGTGCCTCGCTTCTCGTATAGCGTTGCCCGATGCGGAATGAGCATCGGAACTGCATGATCGGACGGTTCGAGGTTGGCCACCTTCACGGAGACGTTCCGTTTCTCCCCGACCCCGACGAACATCTTGCCGTGCGGGGCCTTGATGTAGGGGCAGTGGTTGGGGCCCTGGCGGGAGGATTGGCCTTTGCGCTGAAAAGGAAACATCTGATTGCGCCATTAAATTATATACACATGCTGTTAAGGTGATAAATTATCTTAAATTGTCTAGCAAGTTTAAAAATTGCTTGGATTTGAAACTCTTTCTCAACTTTCTAAAACATTTGCTAACGCTCAAAAATTCCAAAAAGGGGACGTTAAAGGATTAAGATTCAGTCTCAAAAGTTTTAATGAAAACTCACCGCGATGCCATTGATGAAGTTCTGTTGTCGGCATTTGTCCTCCGTCAACTTTCCGTCGACGCACTCGTTCGACTCGAGGCACCAGTCGCAAGGGAACTGGCTCAAAACAGGGATGATTAGGGGTGGTTCGGCTAATAGAATACGGTACGCTACGTCTAGGTGTACATGTAGGCATAGCGGAACGTTACAGCACTCCAAAGGGACAGTGTCAGGGCTAGTCATTTCTTGCTTTTGATATCGGGCGAAGGGCTGCGGTAAGGATGCGTCGCAATTTAGGTGCGCTAAAGCACATGCGCCAGAATATGCTGCTACTCTTGAGAGCGAGAGAGAAAGGAGAACGAGGGGAGCGAGAGAGTGAGCGAGAGAGCGGAGAGAACAAGAACCTCGATAAAACTCTACTCCTAGTACAATCCGAGCAGCTTTTTATACTTCCCACATCGTGAATAAAGTTGGTGGTGGCAATAGGTAGCCGTGCGCTCCCTGGCGTAATTAAGCCAAAGCAGTCGACGAGGGAAGGATTGATTGGTCGGATGGGTTGGGATCCGAAGTACAGCGAAGGCGTTGCGCATCGGATCGTACTGAAACGGAAAAGTGGAAATTCTGCAAAAAAAATCGACTTGACGTCGAAAAAAAATCGTTTTCCCAGCAGAAAAATCGTTTAATTAAGTGGCTCGGCAAACTCAGAAAGATGTGGAAAAAGCCAGAACAATTACAAAATTTTCATTTATACTTTTACCCATCCGAGCCTCCGTGATGT